AATCTTGAAAAGGATTTGAAGGACAAGTTTGTGGCCCTGACCATTGACGATATCTGCTTCTCACTCAACAACAACTCACCAAACATCAAATATTCCGAGAATGTCGTGAGGGTTGAACCAAAGTGAGTGGGTCCCTGACTGCTGGCCTGGCTATGCTGTCTTCCTCCCTGCTATGTAATGTCCTAGTGCTTACCAGACAGGCAGGCAAGAGCTAGCACATCATCCTGACCTCAGGCCGGGAGCTAGGAAGAGGCAGGCTTGGACAAAGGCAGGTGCTGAGTCTTGACCACCCTGAGACAGGGCGGAGTCCTTGGTCCTCCAGCTTAGGCCCCACTTTAAGAAAGTCTGATATAAAATCTTTAAAATACTTAAAATTTATTCTTTTACCTATTTGTGTTGAAAGAATCTAAAAACATAAAGGACAACTTAATAATTTCCCTCCATTATTACTCCTTGAAATAACCAATGTTATCTGTATGTTTATACAAACATATGTGTATACTCACACACAAATTTTGTTTTGTTGGCAAAAATGGGATTATATTATGTACCTTTTCTGGAACATCTAACTTACGATTTTCAATTAACATTACATCACAGACCTAACTCATTCTAATTTTTAAACCTTCTTTTTGAGGTAAAACATACATATAGAAAAATACACAAATAATAATATACATACAGTTTAATTATTATATTATCTTTTGCTATATAGCAAATTACCCCCAAACTTAGCTTAAAACAATAAACATATATTATCTCACAGTTTCTGTGGGTAAGGAACCCAGGCATTGCTTAGCAGGTGCCTCTGGCTCACATCCCATGAGGCTGTAGTCAGGCTTTCTGCTGGTCTGTGGTCTTATCTGAAGGCTCGACTGGGTGGGGGTGGGGATCCACTTCCAGGTCAACTCATGTGGTTATGTCAGGCCCTGCCATGTGAGCCTCTCCCCAGGGCTGTCTCAGGACATGGCAACTGTCTTCCCTCACAGTGAGTGATCCAAGAAGAAGCAGGAGAGAGAGTGCACCCAAGACAAAAGTCACAGTCTCCTTTTAACCTAATCCCCAAAATGACATCTAATCACTTCTGTTTGTGAGAAATGAGTCAATAAGTTCATCCCACAACTCAAGGGAGGAGCTTACGCAAAGGTGTGAATTCCAAGAGGCAACGATCATTGGGGGTCATCACAGAGGCTGGCACTAATCATAGTGACCAGTCCTCGTGGAACCACCAACCTGGTCAAGAAATGAAACATTACCACCACCACAGAAACTCCTACCCTATTCCCTCTTGATCGATAACCTGTCTCTCCTCTCCAAAGGTAACCACATTCCTGACTTCTAATAAGTTTGTTTTGCCTGCTTTTATGCTTATTAAGTAGCATCATACACTATCTAATTTGTGCGTGTCAGTTTTCCAATCAACGTTATTTTGAGATTCATCAATGTTGTTATACAGAGCAGTTCCTTGTTAAACTAGCAATTTATTCACTTATTTATATCAGTATATGGACTCAAGGTTTCCTATTTTATTCATCTGTTACTACTGTCATTTATTTTAATGCTCAAATTGTTACTTCATCTTTCTGAGCCTCAATTTTCCTCATCTGTAAAATGGGGGTTATAAAAGTTAGCTCATTAGGCCATTGTGATGACATCTGTGAAGTGCCAGTCCAGTGCCTGGCACAAAGTAGATTTCCCCAAAGTGAAAGTTATTGCCCCTGTAGGGAGGCTTAGCTTCCAGTAGACCTCCAGGAGTTTGTCCCATTCCCATAGCTCCTTCCCAGCCCAGATATGCCGTGAACAAACGCATGGGTTCTGTTTCAGCTCCGTGAGTCTAGAAGACTGGTTGGACTTCTCCAACACCAATGTGGAGAAGGCTGACAAGCAGAGAAACAACTCCCTGACACTGAAGGCCCTGGTGGACCGAATCCTGTCCCAGACGGCCAATGACCTGCGCAAGCAATGTGACGTGGTGGACACAGCATTTAAGAATGGCTTGAAGGAGACCAAGGATGCCAGGGACAAGCTGGCTGTTCATCTGGCCAAGGTGAGCTCCCTACAGAGAACGTGGGAGAGCACGTTCAAGTGTTTCACCATGGAAACCTGGAAAGCCCTTAGGGCCAGGCAGCTGGCTGTGCTTGTGATCTTGGGAATAAGAGTCATTCGCATCTCTCCATCGCAGCAGCAGGCTTTGGGTTTTTGAGGACCAGGGTGGTTCTTGGCCCCACTCTGGGCCTCCTTTGTCACTCATGACTGCAAAGCATATGCCATCTCTTCCCTCTGGGCCTCGGTTTCTCCTTTTGTGAAATATGGAGATGAACTACATAATCTTAGATATCATTTATGACTCTGAAGTTCCGTGAGTTGAATGCAACCAATTTCTCCAAATCCAGTTGCAACTTCAGGATTCTGGCTGGTTGTCTCTCCTGGTTACCAGTGGTGTACTGGTAAAATGGCTCTCAAAAACAAAACAAAACAAAACAAAATAAAACAAAACAAAACACCCTGATTTGTAGAATTTGCTGATTTCCATGGTGTAAATACTTCCACCACAGTTGATTTTAAGCTACCCATTTAACAGTGGTCTTGCAAAGTTCCTGAGTATTTAACCATCAGAGGCCACGTGAGCTTGCTCCAGTATACCTCCCTCCCTCACCCCTGGATCCTGAGCATGTATGACCATCCCAGAGTTTAAACTCAGGGACACTGAGAAGTCTAGTCTAGTAGCACAAGTGCTGGATTTGGACCAAAGATGTGGGTCCAAATCCAGTCCCATGACAGACCAGCTGAGTGACTCACACAGATCCCTCAAGCTCTCGGAGCCTCATACCTCACCTATAACATGAGGACACTAACCCAACTCCTGCATTTTACTGACGATGAAATTGAGACATAGAGAGCAGAAAGGACCCCAGGTAGCAGGGTGCATTGCTGGCAGCCTGGGGCTAGAGCTCAGGCCTGCTCAACTCCCAAAGCCTTGTCCTTCTGCAGCATTCATACTTTGCCCTCTTGAAACCCAGAGTCTAGTTGTCAGACAAGGTTTACTTATGTGATGAGCAGGACAAGCCAGAATGTAATCAAAGGTCATTCTGTGATAATATTTCCTGTCAAAATCTATTGCAAATGTTCATTTGTTAATGCCCATCTGTAATGAGATTTTATATATATTTCATCTTTGAAAATGTCTTTTCATTCAGATAGGTACTGCCAAGCACTGATAACAGTCTATAAACATATGATCATTGAACATATTCATCACTTGGAAGGCCTTTATAGAATTCTGTTAGATTCTTCTCCTTTTGGATATTGGCCTTTTAGCATGTCATTACATTTCAGATTAATCACTTCCATTTGAAGGGTAGGTAGAAGCTCTTCAATTACACAGCTAAGTGGATTTTGAAATATGGAAATTTCCTTTGCACTTGCATTGAGGTCCAAAAAAACACTGCTGAAAGTTGGAAAATATATCTGCTGCAAATATGTGTGGGAATGGAGGCCTTGCTTCTAGTTTTAACTTTTGACAGCACAGGGAGTATATAAAGCAGCTCGACATTACTTGTGATTCAAATCACGTTACTCATAGAAATGACTTTACCACAGTTTAAGCTTTGCTTTTAAGTGCTGTCTTGCCTTGTGATTTTAGGTTGGATTCATTAAGAAATAATATTAAGTCTGCATCAGAAGTTAATTTCCAAAAACCATTCAGTGTTTGATAATAGTGGTTGATGGTGGTGGTTCTTGTTAAAAACAATTTCATTCTTGGCCCTCAGCTAAAAATAAATCATAAGAAAATTTTACTGCTGCTAAACCATTGACTTGCTGAGCATTACAGCAAGTCAGGATATTCAGCTTATATTTCTTTTTTTAAATTTTATTTATTTTACTTATTTTTATTTATTATTATTTTTTATTTTTTTTAGTCTAGGCAACCCTTGGTTGACCTCACAGATTGCAAGGACCTTGTCAGCTTACAATCCCTTATTTTTTATTTTTTACTCCTATAGCACCTGGTCTTCCTAGGTGGTCTCCTGTCCAAGTACTAACCAGGCCCGACCTTGTTTAGCTTCTGAGATCAGATGGGATCGGGCTTGTTCAGGGTGGCGTGGCCGCAGACTCAGCTTATATTTCTGACAAACATTCACAGAACCAATGATGATCAAATCCATGAGAGTTAATGAAGTTCATTGTCGATGCTACTGGTTTAATAATATCCAGTAGTATTATATTTTCTGCAAAGTACTTTCTGATGAATAATACTATGAATATCCAGAGGCTTTAAATAGCATGCATTTCCACAAGCTCCGTAAATGTGTTCAACTAATCCTCTTTCTGCTCCACACATATTTGTGCCATTATCAGCTATAACACTTCTTAGCAGATTTTATTTCAGTTTGTATCGAATTAGTATTTTCTCAACTTTTTGAAAATAGCCTCACCTGTAGTTATTTCATAATACCATTCATAGAGGCCGATTCTTTAGCTACTTCAAACTCAGCACTGACTCCTTAAATAAACAACTGAGCAGCATCAGAACACTTAACTCATGAAGAGCAAAAGAAAACCATCCAAAATCATGTGCCTTGTTTTTAATTGACTATTGATGTTGTTCCCAGTGTCCTTAACTTTTCAGGTAACTATTATTGCAGAAAGACTAATAATCTTAAACAAATTTATATTCTCTGGACACCCTTCCTCAGCTGCTGTGATCGAACATGATTCAAATAACTCACAATCGGTAATCGACTTTCCTTGCTTGGATAACAAATGAGCCACTTTCAACCTTACTTGATTGCAGCCTCATTTTCATTTTTGTGAAGATATTCTGGGGTGATGGGACATTCTGTTTTGAATTTCTAATTTTTCTGATTATTGCTCTCCTGTGAGTTGGGACTATCATGATGATGCATAGTCTGGTAATGACATATGTTGTATTCTTTCAGCATAGCTGTAGTGTCATTGCATAATAAACACAATGTTTTGCTACCTAATTAAAATCTATTACTCACTGCACCTTAAAAGTACAACACATGAAGCCCATTTTTCTTACTTTAGCGTGACGAGTATGTACTGGTAATAAAAAAAATAAGACATCACTGTATGGTGATACACATAACACTTGGAAAGCTGTCAAGTTGTAACCGTGTCGTTGGGATTTCTAGTACTCTGGACAGTAACACAAGGCAAGGAGAGTAATATACACAGTCTGTTGCAGCTTCTTAACTCTGCCATTGTGATTTAAAAGCAGCCATATATACATGAATGAGCATGGCTGTGTTCCAATAAAACTTTTTTTATGGAAATTAAAATTTGAATTTCATATATTTTTCACATGACACAAAATATTATTCGTCTTTTGATTTTTCAACTATTTAAAAATGTAAAAACCTTTCTTTTAAAAGAGAATGAAGAGACAAGCCACAGACTAGGGGAAAATATTTACAAAACACGTATCTGATAAAGGGCTATTATCCAAAATATACAAAAAACTCTTAAAACTAAACAATAAAGAAATAAACAGTCCAATAAAAAATAGACAAAAGATCTGAACAGATACCTTACCAAAGAAAATATACAGATGGCAATTAAGCATGTGAAAAGATGCTCAACGTCATGTCATTAGGGATTGCAAATTAAAACAACGAGATACACTACACACCTGTAGAGAACATTGACAACACCAAATGCAATGAGAACTCTCATTGCTGGTGGTAATGTAAAATGTTACAGCCACTTTGAAAGACAGTTTGGCAGTTTCTTGTAAAACTAAACATACACATATGATTCAGCAAACTCACTCCTTGGTATTTAGCCAAATGCGTTGAAAACATGTCCACACAAAAACCTGTATGAATATTTATAGCAGCTTTATTCATAACTTCCAAAGCTTGGAAGCAACCAAGATGTCTTTTGATAGATAAATGAATAAACGAATTGTGCTATACCTATAGAATGGAATATTATTCAGTGATAAAAAGAAATGAGCCATCAAGTCTCAGAAAGACATGGAGGAATCTTACATGCATATTGCTAAATGAAAGAAGCCAATGTGAAATTCATACTGTATGAATCATACTGTATGATTCAAACTATATGATATTCTGGAAAAGGCAAAACTATTGATACAGTAAAAAGGTAAATGATTGTCAGAACTTCAGATGGGGGTTGGGGAGTGAAGGAGGGATGAAAAAAGAGGAGCATAGGTTTGTTTGTTTTTTAGGACGATAAATTCTGGATGATACTATATTGGTGGATACCAAATGTATATAATTTATACATTTGTCAAAACTCATAGAATGTGCAACACAAAGAGTGAACCCTAATGTAAACTATAAACTTTAGTTAATGATGATGTAACAGTACTGGTTCATCAGTTGTAACAAATGTGCCACATTAACTCAAGATGTTCATAATAAGGGAAACTGTGTGGGGGAAGAGAGGGTATATGGGTACTCTATACTTCCTGCTCAGTTTTGCTGTAAGTCTAAAACTGCTCTAAAAAATCTAGTCTATTAATTCAAAAAAAATTCTTATTTCAGTCTGTACAAAAACAGGTGGCAGATTGGATTTGGCCCATAGGCCATAGTTTGCTGATTCTTGATCTAATACGTGATATTAGCAGTTTTATTTTAAAGAATCTCTATTTTGGATATTTTAAGTATCTGTAAAATTTAAGAAAATTTGACCTGTTTTATTTTAAAGTTATAACAAAATATTTAATTAAATAATTTAGCCTTATGATTTTAGCTGAAATTTTAAGTTTGAAGACTTAAGATATTTACGAGAATTTAAGATTAATTATTTTTACTAGTTTACTAGATTGACAAGTTCTTTTGAGACCTTCAGAAGGCCTTGTTTGTTAAGACAATTCAAGTATTTCTAAAAAGTTTTCTATCAAATTCGCAAATGCTATATATTTGTTGTATATCAAATTTATAAATGCTGCTTTAAATAAATGTTCGAAGGATTTTACCCAAGCTTGAAGTGGGAGCAACTATTAATCAAAATAAATTTAAAGTGATTGTTAACATTTGTTAAATTTAAAAATACTATAATATCTGTGAATTTAACTTAAGAAACGCTTAAGAAATGTTAAGAAAAGGCTTAAAATGCAATGTGTGGACTCATTTGGATTCTAATTTGAACAAACTCACTCTTACAAGAAAATACGGGACAATCATGGAAATATGAAGACTAGCTATTAGGTAATCTTGAAGAATCATTCTTTTGTGGTGTGCGTGTGTGTGTGTGTGTGTGTGTGTACAACGGAATATTCTTCCGCCATAAAAAAATGAAATCTTGCCATTTGCGACAGCATTAGTTATGTTAAAAGACAATAGAAGAATCCTTATATCTTAGAAACATGTACTCAAGTATTTAAGACTGAAATGATATAATATCTGGGATTTGCTTTAAAACAATTAAGCTAGTGGGCGGAGATGGAGTTATAGAAGAAACAAGATTGGCATGTATTGATGATCATTGCTTAAACTGACAATGGGTACCTTAGATTCATTATACTGGCTACTTTTGTGTATGTTTGGAAATTTCCATGATGTAAAGTTATTTTTTTTTTAAAGCTTAAGAAAGAAAGAAATTTTAAGCTAGTTAAATATTAATCTAATAACTCAAGTAACTTCTAACTAATCTTTTTATGAACAAAGCCACCCTCAAAGAAACCAACAAAACTCAGATTGAACTGCTCACACTCTTCAGGCCTCTAAGGGGGCAGAACTGGTGCTAGTGAGTGAGTTGATAAGGAAATAGGCAGCTTTCTGTTCGTGATACACAGGTACTTTGTACCAAGGTAAATGGGCAGCTTCCAGTCGCAGCTGAGGGCATTCTTCAGGGAATTCATATTATTTGAGAAGGAGATGAGGCAACAGTGGCCGGTCACGTTCATTCCGTCTGTGAAGTTCTAAAGCTGGGTGAGTTGCCTTGCCCACCAGCAGTCACTGCTACAGGGAAGAGAGATCAGACTCATTCTGGTGCCCTGCTTAAGTAGAAATCTGAGGTCCTGTTTTCCTAATTTAAATGATCACAGAGACCTCCTAAGAGTCCCTGCTGTTGAGTTTCGAGGAGTACAACTTGGCCTCACCTACTCTAATCCTTTTTGTAAGGTCATGGAAGAGATTGCTTCCCAAGAGAAAAATGTTACAGTTCTTGAAAAAGCCATCCTTGACCAAGAAGGGCCTGCCAAGGTGGCTCATACACGCCTGGAGACCAGGACATATCGGCCTAACGTGGAACTGTGTCGTGACGTGGCACAGTATAGGTTGATCAAGGAGGTTCATGAGATCACCCATAATGTTGCAAGGTAGGCTGGCAGCTGGTAGGTGGAACACCACTGGGACCCCATTTAAACCTGGATTGTGAACAGGGCTGGGCAGATTCTGTGGTGGGTGAAGCCTGCTAGGCATGAGCTCATTTGTATCTATAATGTTTGAGGGATTCCTTTCTAGAGGACAGGCAAGGGACTCCTTTCTAACTCCAGCCAATTGCTGCCATGCAGAAAATGGACGCCAGAGTTTAAATTTTTCTAAAGAAGTCTAAATCCAGACATTTAGGTAAAATGTACAGTCTTAAATGTTGGCAGTTTATGGAGCTGTCTATCTCGTGAATCTGGCCTGTGGCCACTAATTCGAAATCTCTGTCTTGTGGAGGCGAGGGAAGAGGACATGCTTATTTGGCTTCTGCACTGAACACATGAATACATTCCTTCCCCCCACCCCCCCGCCCCCGAAAAAGCGATGCAGAATGATAAATTATTCCCTTATGTTCTTCCTCTTCTCCTAGATTAAATGAAACATTAGCCCAAGCTCAGGTGGAGCTGAAAGGGCTGAATCGCAGACAGCTTGCCCTGCAGGAGGAGATCCAGGTCAAGGAGAACACCATCTACATCGATGAGGTCCTGTGTATGCCCATGAGGAAGTCCATCCCACTGCGGGATGGGGATGACCACGGGGAATGGGCTGGGGGCCTCCGCCCTGATGCTGTCTGCTAAAAGTAGGACTAGTTCAGATTCTCATTAAACCGTGTCGTAAAACAGTAGTACTGAACTCTTATTTCAGGTAGGCAGCACTTCCAGTCAGCCCACCACAACCCCTCGGCCGGGATTCCAACCTGCTCTGGAGCTGGGATTTGTGTGCAAGGCTCTGTGCTGCTGGTGCGGCTGGTGTGGTTGTTGTTTAACAGTTAAATTCCATGTGTTAGCACAGGCCATTCCGAGAATATCACAGGACTTGGGGCTTTGGGGGAGGCGTCCAAGACATTTTAGTTCGGATTCATTTCAATTCAGTAGTTGGACTGGATCCCTTATTCAGACCATGCCCATCTTCTTACTCTTGAGAGGGGATACAAACATTTCTCTCGGCTCTCGAGATTCCTTTTCCCCTGGAAATAATGTGACTGCTGACTTAGACCCAGACCGGTCCACAGGAAGCCTATTCAAGTCTTACAGGACATAGATGAGAGGGGAGTTGCCCCGGGTCAAGAGTCCCCTTAAGCCTTCCTCAATGCCCGAATGTGTCTCTCTGGACCTCTTTCTTCTGGGAGAAATGAGGACAAGACAGGGCCAAAGGGCTCTCCAGCTCATAGAAATTCAATCTAGTTATAGGGCTTGAGGAGCAGCAGGTAGGCCAGGTTGCTGTTCCCTGGGGTCAGGGGGAACAGAGGGATGATGTCTCTGGTTCCCAGGTTGGAGTGGGGCTGAAGGGAACTAGGGAGCCTGCATGTCAGCTGTGGGGTGGGTGGCTCTGGCAGGAGGAGCTCTGAGTGACACTCTGGGAAGGCTAGAGGTGCCAGCACCGACAGGGCAGGGGTGGGGGCAGCTTATGGGGGGTGTTTGGCATGTGTACAGATCCCAGGGACTGCAGTCTCAGGATTACCAGCCTGGGAGAGAGGGAGGCAACATTCTGGGCTCCACAGCTAAGTTTTTCCAGCTTCTGGGAGAGCATGTCTGTTAGCACCACCATGCAGAAAGGATTTCCTGATCGCCTTTTCTTTCCTGAATATAAACAGTGAGTATGAGTTTAGTGTTGGTTTCCAGACCAGTTAGTAATCATTCAGAATTTTTGTTTTTGTTTTTGTACTTAAGTAACGGTAAAGGAAGAGAAAAAAATTACTCTCATTCCTGCCACAGATTCAAATTGTCACCAGACAATTAACCAGAATCTTGTCATCGGCGTGAGAAAGAATTCATGGACAGACAATGAAGGCGCTGAAGCGCCAGCTCAAGTTTATTGAAAACAAGAGTGCACTCTCAGATGGGAGAGTGGGAAAGCATGAGAGGGAGCTGCCCCGCTTTTCTTGTGGGGCGGGGACTTTACTGACTTTACTGGGGGTGGCACATTCATGGTTCTGGGTGGTCTCTTGGAACTTCGGAGACACCCCTTTTCTTACCCGTTTTTGTCCTTACCGAAATGATGTGGTGTCAGGTGCATGATGGGTACAGTGTTAACCACAATGTTAATTTATTATAATAGCCGTATAATGAGGATAGGGTTAGGTTAAGGACAAACAGGGCTTGGCCTGCACATATGTTCTTGTGGGGAAGAACATCTGTGTTTCTGGGCCACGATATCGTGGTTTCTGAGCTCTAAGGGCCCAGCAGGGTTCATGGCAAGCACATTTGTGTCCTTGTGAGTTCCTCTCTTTTCTGCTCATATCTGGCGATCTGCCTACTCTTAACAAAATCAGTGGGTAAGAAAGCAGGTTCTGAAGTCAGACATACCTCAGTTCAAGTTCTCCAATAGTTCCTACCTCACAGTGGGGCTGAGTCACTGTGGGGCTGAGTGAGATAATGTATGCGAAGGGCTTCACACAGAGTGTGACCCACAGGGAAGCAAGTGTTCAATAAATATGAGCCATTTTTAATACTCCCTACCCCATACCCGCATAATTTCTATGCAGATGTACTCATGGCATAAGCTCAGGTTCATTGCAAGTAGTTTTCCATGTTGCTATATCATCCTTATAATTATTTTAATGGTTACATATTACATACCTCTTTAAAAGTTTTCACCAAGACTGTTTCCATATACCTACCATTTTTTTTCAAATCAAGTTCTGCTTATAGCTGGCTGCCTTCTGCTGAGTCACAGCAGCTCAAGAATACATCTGCGTGATTGTCAAAGGAAGACCTTTGCTGTGGGAAACTGCCCATTCATTCATTCATTCATTCATTCTGCTAACACCTACCGTCTAAGTGCAGAGCTCACCTTCCCGATGCCTTCCACATATGGAGCTGCTTCCGTGCTCTGCCCTAACATTCGGTTCCCTAATACTTATTGGACTTCCAGTTGGTGTTGAGCAGAGCGCTGGTGGCCTGAGATCAGGAAACCTGGATTCTAGTTCTGACACTGTCAAGAAAGCCCCTCCCCATCTTAAGGCTCCTGTAAAGTGAGAGGATTGGCCTAAATGTCCTAGAGCCCTTCTGATCTTTGATGTTCCCTTGGGGAACAAAGGCACAGAGACAGTACAGGATTTAGGCCTGACTCCCAAGAGGTTTAAGAGATTCTTTGCTGTCGTCAAGGGCTGTTCCTAATCTGGGATGGAGAAACCCTCTTTAAGGCTGGGAGCATCAGCTTTGTGCGATCTGGGCTGTGACCGGCCCGCCCAGATACTGAGCATCACCTCTCAGGTGCTGAGCAAATATGCAGCACTCCCCATGTCCTCTCTTCCCCTTGGGAAGTCTCTGGTGCTCTTCTGCTCTGGCTTGGAAGAGTCCCAGCTCAGAGGGCAGACCTTAGAGTTTGTGCTAACCTCACAGGATTATGAGGCCTGTCCCAAAGGATGTGGCATTGGAATTCTTCCAAGTAGCACAGACTTCAGCACACTGGGAAAGTCTCAGGAAGGCTGGCCTTCCCAATAATCGATCTAGGATCCTTCTCTGTTCTGTGGGTTCTGTTGACTGCACTTGCCCTTACCCAGAGGCTCACATCCCGTCATCTTCCTGTGTTACCACCTCTCTGGCCTGATCTGGGGGTGCCAGAGTTGGACTCACTAAGGTCAGAGCCACCCTCCCAGGAGACCAGGATCATATTTGGGTAACAGTAATGACCAGAGTTTTTACATCCTACTGTCAACAAGTACAGGCACCTGAAGCTACAAAACCTACAAGAAATTAATAGGAACTCCGAGATTGTATTCTGAGCTCCCTGCCATATGAAACAAAGTACTGGTCATGAGTCAAGCTCATTGAGGATGAGGACTCTCTGGTGGGGAGGAAGGTCCGTCTGTGTCCAGAAAACTGGGAGAAACCCAGAGAGACGGTTGTATAGCCATGGGATGCAGGCGAATTTAAAGTGCATGGAGAAGGGGCCAAGGCCCGAGCCCTGGGAAACACCAGCACTTCCAGGCTGCGTGACAAAGAGTCCCACAAGCAGACTAAGAGGGAACATCCGAGGGGCTGGAGGAAGCCCAGGAAAGCATGGTGTCACAGATATCAAAGTAGGAGAATGTTTCAAAGCACTGGTGGTCAATGGGTTGAATATTGCAGGGCATCAGCTAAGAAAGGAAAAACATCTTCTAGATTTGATTATAGGCAATCGCCAGTGACACTTTACCAAAGGCAATCCCAATAGAGTATCGGAGGAAGTCAGGCATTTGGACTCAGGACTAGGAACTTCCAGTTCCACCAGGCCGCTCTCTTGAACAGAGGAGATGTAGGTTTTGGAATATGGATGACGACAGCTGTCTGTCATGTGGATGTGAAACAGAAAGCCGGTTTGCAGCCAGAGAAAAAGTGGGAGCTGAGGCACCAAGAGAAAGAAGGAAGAATGCCCTGCAGCTCTCCCTTCCTTGGCTCCAGGCAGTTTCTGAGGCCCCTGGGTTCTAGGAGACACTCAAGGACCTACATACAGCACTTCCTTTTCTGCTCACTGACTCTCAGTGGGTTTTCCGTGACTGCCACTCAAGAGAGTTGTAACTCACAGGCCATGTTGCTTGAATGGATGAGTGGGCTAACTAAGAGGAGAATGGGAGTGGGGGTTACCCCTGAGAGGGATCTTGATGGGTTTCCAGGGAGTGGCATGGCATACACAAAGTCAAAGGGTCTCAAAGAGCCAAATCTGTTTTTAGGGGGAACTGGGTATGGGTTCCTATAAAGCATGTTAACAATCTCAAAGCAAAACCAAGGAGGACTTATTATATAACCTTGTAAAATGGGTATACCATTGGTAATCCCAGCAATTATGACAATCATTAACGTGTTGAGTGCTTATGATGAGTTATTTATACTAACTGTTATTATCCCCATTTCGCAGGTGGGAAAATTGAGGCCTGCAGGGGGGTCACACAGATAAGATTCAGACCGACTTGCCAGGAGTTGCATGGCTAATGAGTTGCTGATGCAATTGGATCTCAGATCCTGAAACCAGAATCTGTTGCCTAAAAGTATTTTTACCTGAAAATTTATCCATGGATTTTGGCAAGCCTTTGTATAAATGTAAAAATTAGAATGAATCTGATCTACTCCCTTTCATTGGGCAGGTTTTACTTGTTCTTTAGCTGGGTGGTTATATTCTCTGTAGAGAAGTTAATACAGATCCCAGTGCCTCCATCAATGGCCCCTCCACAGAAACCATTTGATTCTTCAGCCAGTCAGCAAAAGTATACTCAGATCTATTGCACATCAGGTCTGTGTCACTGGAGGGTATGTGTACATGTGGTCATTCATTTATTCATTCACATGACAAATACTTGCTGGGCTCCACTTTACAGTGCAGGGACTCTGCTAGGCACTGAGATTAGAGGGTGAATTAGACAGAGATCCCTGTCCTTTTAGCACTCAATCCAGAGACAGGCTGCACACAACAAAGTCATTTCAGATAGTAGGAAGTGCTATGATGGAAATAGGGTGATGTGAATTGAGTGACAGAGCAGGTGGCTACTTTAGATTGTGTGTTGAGAGAAGGCCTTTCTGATGAGCTGACACTTGAACCTAGATAAAGGTAAACAAGAAGGCGGCGGTCATATAAGTAATCGAGGAAAACACTGTCACCTGACCTTTTTAGTGAACAGAGAATAGGCCAGTGAGGCTGGAGGAAAGGAGAAAGTAGTATATGGTGAGCTTGAGGGTAGACTGGGGTCAAATCATGTAAGGTGCTATAGACCACTGTCAAGTTCAAACCAGCTTCTGGAAAAAGGCATGTATGTGGCTGGGACCCCCAGGGGAAATTTCCAGGAGGTAGCAGGAGACCTGGTCCTCTAGCCCATTCACTGAAATATTCAGAGTCTGAGGGTGGGGGGAGGGCAGGGGCCAGCAGGGGGTCAATGATCTCTCCAGCCCACCTGCACCCTGTCCCTTCTGTCTTCCACCTCATCAAATGAAATTGGCTCTTCTCCGAGTTTCCTCGACCACCACGAAACCCTGGTCTTCCAGCGGGTGAGTGTCCAGCCCTCTGAAGGAAGTGGCCAGCTGATACTAGCTCCTACCTGCCAGGATAGTTTCCTGGCACTGGTCTTGGCTGAGGTGGGGCTGTGGCAGCCAGGAGGTGGTCAAGGCTGAGGGGAGGAGTGGGACTAGCCCCAGAGCCAGTGGGGCCTCAGTAACCCAAGGCTCAGGGCCTCTAGACAGCTCTGGGAGCCTGTCCTTGCTGGAGGATACAGTCCGGACTCCAGCCCCTGCCAGGGGAGCCCTGTAACTTGCTTTTTTCACTTAGTATGCCTTGAAGGATGTCCATACCAAGACATGAAGATACACTTCGGTCTTTAAATTGCTGCATGATACAGAATTACTGGGGTTTATGTCACCAATTCCCAAGCTGGTGGACTTCATAGTTGATTATAATTTTCTGCTATTACTAGTGGTCCTTCAGTAGACATCTTTGTCAGCTCTTCTTGAACCAGTATTTCTCTAAGGTGGTAGAGCACGTCCATGAGACTAATAAAACCGTAAATTAATCCAGCCAACCTATCATGTAGGTGAGTGACAAGATTAGGCTGTGACTTAGAAGGGTCCCCCTGGGGACAAATTGGAGGGAAGGGGATTGCATAAATTCCTTAGGAATGACTTTGGCTGACGAAGCACAAAGGCCTTGGGGTTAGACATGCTTTCGTTCCCAGTTTTGCTGGTAACTCATCTGGGAATGGTAGGTGAACCCTCTCCCTTCCCTAGGCTTCATTTTCTTTATCTGCGAAGAAGAGACATAGGGAGTGGTAGTGAGAAAGGCTGGTGAGGTGGTTTGTAAGGTT